CTCTCTCTCTCTCTCTCTCTCTCTCTCTGATATATCAGTCTATCACTTTTTTGTCAGTGTCTGCGTATCTAATTGGTTCTTTGTACGCCAGTGTTTGCCTGTTTTTAAGCATTTAAGATTTAGGTATTTCAATATGTTCAATTTAATAAAAGATGGTTAAAAAAGTATGAGTTTGAAAACATAATGTCTTTCTTCGAATCCTTTAACAAACCCTTCGACCCTAATAGCCCTCTGAAATGCGTTTATGTTACCGTCTTATTTTGGTTCTATATTTTGATACTGTAAAATGAGTTTTACCGACCAAACCCTCGTTCCTGGTTTCTTTCAAAATTTAGATTTTTCGCTGATGTATCCAACAATCACCTTAAAAGGAAAAAAACAAACAAAGTTGGGTAACCATAAATTTCTGGTCACCCTAATCTGCCTCAAACGTGCTTGACTCAGAGTCTTGGAAGCCCAAATTTTTTCCACTGGGCCACGATTTTAGGAAATTAGCACAACAATAGCCTTCAAAACAATGCACCAGATAGACTAGATTATTTTCCACTTCAAATCAACGTGCTAGTGCGTGGCAGAGTGCAAGGGATTAGCTGTAGATGGTCTGGGGGCCGGCTAGTCTCTCCCCTGATGCTTCGGCTAGAACACTATCCTGCGTAATCCGTACACCCAAGGGCAGAGGGACTTAATCGCCGTCATGTCCGAAGTCCATACGATGACCCAGCGGATGTCTCGGGGTATGGCATGAAGGCACTATTTTTTTTTCTTTTCTATATTTTGGAATTTATTATCTAGTAAAGTTGGTGGACGTGGGTTCGATTCCCACCGTAAGAAGAGTAACTTTTCTTTCTTAGATTTTTTAAATATTTGTTTATTTATCATTTTTATAAAATTATGATGATTCCTACTTTTTTCTTTATATTCAGCATTAACAGTTTTTTAAGCGATGTTCATCTGAAAGAGTCTTCTACATATTCTATTTGTTTGTTTTTTTTGTTTTGCTTTTTTTTCTATTACAAACAGCAGCCTTAGACCCCGGTTCGTCTTTAATAAAACAATAGAGGGAACCCGGTAGAGTTGATGAAGTTCGAGGGCGTAAATGTGTTTTGGGCCCAATCAAAACTCATTTTRGCCCGAAACTTTACGAGCCACTGCAAGGGCCCAAAACACATTTAATCTTACGCCCAAGAACATCAACTATATTACTATTATAACAAATAATATGAACTTATTGGGCATTTACGAAAGGAATAAAAGGCAATATATTTAAAGATATATAGGCTTTACGTGGTTGTTCAGTTCAGACGTCAAATCAATCTACAAGTTGACAAATAACCAGAAAGGTTGTTTTCGCTATCTGACTTAAGCCTCCTTTGCAGACATTATTTTACATTATTACACAAATAACGTCTGCATAGGAGGCTAGACTTATGGGGGCGCTGGCGATGGGAGGGAGGGGATGCAAAGACGACAGCGAGCGAAAAGCCAAAGGCTATAAACTAACTTTTTTTAAAAAATTTTTGTCGTTGGGTTCGAATGCCATCGTAACCAGGCATTCTATTTTTTAAAAGCATATTATTTATTTATGTATCATTTTCTTTAGCATTAATTAAAAATTAATTGGTAAACAATCTCGATCGTAAAATCCGAGTGTGTTTTTCTGAATCGAATGAATTGCTAAACTAGAACAGTTTACTGACAAGAGCTATTACTCCACTTGTTTTCGATTCTCGGTATTTTCTCTCTATATTGCTATAATTTCTGTTTATATGGTATTGCGACTACGCATGTTDCCCAAAGGGGCCAGCATTTCCCAGTGCTCATGGTTTGGCTTAGGCTCTCGGCCAATGAGAAGCAAGATAGTGAGTACTAAAGGGATTAACTCGTACTGGAATAGCGAAACTTTTATCGATTTCGTGTAAAAGGCTGCTTACTTACGAAAACTACGAGCAAATCTTCAGGATTATCCCAAGTAAAGTTAAACTAAATATTTGCGGACTTTTCTCACATTGCAGTTATTTTCTTGTTAAATAGACCCATACCGGAAATGACCTCAGAGATGAATGCCGGTAACTAGATCATATGACTATTTCACAATGTTTTGCTAAGATTTAAAATAATGAAACTCTCTTATACTTCCTACAGGAAATGGATTGTAATTTCATTTAATTCTTCAGTCGATGTTTCAGCTTTGTCGACAGTTTCAAAAATAATTGTAGTTTTGAGAGAGGAACTGAAAGCTCGTTATTTCAAGGAAGACACTTTATAATTCATTATCCTGAATCACATTTCACATATATTCCGTCTTAAATTCTTCTACAATGGAAGGTAATCAAATTATCAAGCTTAACGTTGGAGGTATTATATACCACACAACGAAAAACACTCTCTTGTTTGAGCACGACTCTCTACTCGCCAAGCTCTCAAGAGGTGAAAGTCAACTAGGATTGATGTTTACAGGGTCGTTAGAGAAAACTAATTCTGGCAAAGAAGTCAATGAAGACGTAGAGATATTTATCGACAGGGATGGAACGAACTTTAAATACCTTCTGAATTATCTTCGTTCCGGTCATCTGGTTTTGCCTGAGGAGGAAAATGTCTTGAGGGAAATTCTCCTGGAAGCAAAATATTACAATATCAAGGGTGTCATAGATGAGTTATCCAAGCCTTGTTATAAAATCAAAGGAGTTGTACCAATATCTGACGAACTGGGCGCATTTTGGGAATCTCTGATTCTGGATAACGAAAAGAAAAGATTTCTGGAAAGCTGGTGTGGAGGCGAAGGAAAGAAATTCAAGCTTTTGTATCGAGCCACGAGGGACGGTTGGAGTGCAGATATTTTTCACTTTCTATGCGATAACAAGGCTCCTACGGTAGTCGTTACTAGGAAGGGAAGCAGTGTTTTTGGTGGCTACACGGAGAAATCCTGGTCAGGTATGACGTTATCACTAATGGCTTTATAACAAGTTTTAATTTGCGGTGAACTATGTCTAGGAATCTTGACTCTATTTTGCACAAGTACCTCGTGCTGTTGGTTTAGCGTGATAATATTTGTTTTACATATTTAATTTTGATTTCCATTTCGGTTTCAGTATAAAACGCTGTTTTTTGGAGAAGGGGGAGGGCTGAGGGTTTTAGAGTAGAGGGGAGGGTCATCATTAAAACAATGAGCTGTTTGTTTGTTGATTTAATTGGAGGGTCATTAATTCCTTACTGAGTAAAAGAGGGAGGGCTGCAACCAATTGAAGAAATTACTGCGAATTCGCCTAGCCCTTCTCCCTCCCTCCAATATATATATATATATATATATATATATATATATAAAGTACCTTCCCCTATTTCTCTTCCCAAATTGGCTCTTTTTTTTAGAAACTTTTGCTGATCTATATTGACAAGATTTCAGCAGAAAAACGAATGATGAAAAATTTGTAAATCACAATGGCGGCTCTTTCGTCATGGAAATTTTTCTCTGTGAAATAGTATCATCACCATGATCCTCATCGTTATCATCATCATCTTCATCTTCTTCTCCTTTTTCCCCCTCCTTTTGATTTTTGTCCTCTTCTCCTCTTATTTTTTTCTATAATTTTTCTCCTTATTCTCTAGGAACCGGAAATAAGACAGATAAGAATGCTTTTCTGTTCAGTCTATCCAACCCGTCAGGTCTTGGCCCTATCAAAATCCAACTCAACGAAGGTGAGGAAGAAGACGCCGTATACTGTCACCCAAGCCAAGGCCCTGTGTTTGGTAAAGGACGTGACTTAGTGATTTCAGATCAAGCTAATGTAAGCCATTGTAGCAGTCGACTTGATAACACATACAAGTGTCCTGCAAACCAAATTTCCACTCTATTTTTAGCTGGTACTTTGACCTTCACCCTTGCAGAGCTCGAAGTGTACGAAATTCTTTAAAACAACAAACAAACAAGCAAACAAGCAAACAAACCATTTTTTATATTTTCTTGTGAAATGCAGGTCTATGGCAATCTGTTCCTTTAGATTATTTTTACCAAATTAACACTTTGTGCCAATTATAATAAATCATAAAATATAGGAATTTCCAATTCAAAATGCAGTTCGCGTTTAAACGAAGCATGCCATGATATGTTAGCTCCAACAACACCATCTATCGGATTTTCAAYATGTAAACATTAGAATATAGCTTATAATTCATGAGTTTTATTTCTTTCACATGATTTTTGTTGGAAGCATTTAATTAATAGTAAGAAGTCTCGACAGATTCAATGACGGTCTTGAGATTTAATATTTTATGAATTTTTAGATAAACTTATAGCTGGATTTTGCATCAAAATTTTCATAATTTTTCCCTCTTGTAAAATTATTGTTTTTGTATCATTTGAAAATAAAAGAAGATTAAAGTATCGACATGGGATTATTTAATGTCAGTGAGAGGGGATTTTATATTCATGTGCTCGTACGAATACTTAGTATCAATGACTATATAAGCTTAATAAGTTTCATTAGACCAAAAGGAAAAAATGAAAAAATAAAACCTTGAAAACCATTATAGTATTAGACAGTATGGACATAAATTTGCCATTACATTGTAATGTTTTCATTTAATATTCAAAATAAAAACATTAAAACTAGTCATAATTTTGCTCCGATGGTCGGTAAACATTTTGTGGAATAAACTCGCGAGAAAGTTTCAAGAATCATTTTACTCTCGTACAAAAGCGATTTTAATTATTAACGATGTTTTAAGACTTTTCTTATCGGCTATATAACGCTGTCCCAGGCATAAAAGCTTGTTTCTGATGATAATGTCACGCGTGTGTCTTTGTTCTTGAACAGACGCCATTTTTCAAACAAAGAATTTTATTATCTCGTAATGGTTTCTAAAGCGATCGCTTATTGGTTGGATCAAGATTATATGCGGCGTGGTGAATATAACACGTGTTGTTATTGGTTGGATTTGACGGTTTACTATTTTAGCAGGTGTATTGATCACACAAAGGCGAAGAGTATAGTTTGGATCAGTGAATTTGAATTTGGGCGATTGGTTTCAAAAAAACGCTTCAAAAATATGGAGAAATTAAGAGAAAAAAGACAAGCCATGCAAGAACAGCTTGAAGAGATAGAAAAAAGAGAAATGCTGGCTAAGAAGAAGCTGAATTGGTTGGAAGAAATATCTGGAAAAAATAAAACTGAGGCGGAGACGCTTCGCCGTAGCTGTAGTCTGACAGAATACAACTTGGATAAGACTGAGGATTTGCTGGACCAGAAAATAGCAAGTTTAAAATCAGCTCTAGTGAAGCGAGACAAAGAAGACCAGATTATCAAGGTTCTAGAACAGAGAGATTTAGAGATTGACGAAGAAATATCTCGTTTTGAGCCGAAAGTAAAACAAGCCATACATCGAGCCGATGAGGCAGAAATGAAATACCATGAAGCGGTTCGAAAGCTCTCTTTGGCTGAATCTGAGAGAAATAAAGTTATTGGAAGACGAAACGCAAAAGAAAACCAAGTCCAAGCTCTACAAACCTCTCTCAAAAATGCAGGAAGACAAATTCACAGATTGGCGATCAGTGAAGAGAAATCTGGCGACCGCGAAGATGAGTACTTTCGTCGTTGTCGTCACCTTACTGAATGTGTATCCCATTGTCTTATGCGGGCTGAAGAAGCTGAACGGAGGATTAAAATGCTACAAAACAGAAAGGATAATTTAGAAGGAGAAAAAAAGACTTATGAGAAAAATTTGGCCATGATGAGACGAGAATTGGATGAGACACTAAACAACCTAGACCATTTGTAGAATTAATTTAGCAATTCAGTTTTTTCTTTTAATGTATTTATATATAACTTAGTCTCTTTAACCCAGGCTTTAAAAATGGCATATTTAAAAGAAAAAAAGGATTGCCATTTATTTGACTTTTATTTGAATTTTAAAACAGTAAGTCTGGAAATATTCATTTACTGTTTATGGACGAAGTTTGGCGAAAAGTATAGTCGGTTGTGCATGTCACGCAAAAAAAAAAAAAACAACTACTACTGAATTACTAAGATAAAAATTCTTTAATTATAAAATAAAATTCTGAAAAAATTGAGATTAAAATGCGATGTACATTTTTTTAAAACTAACAATAATGTTAAGAAATTCAAATAAACAGTAAATTATTCTGTCTTGAGTTTATTTCTTTAAATCTATCAACATGCTGAGTTTAATATAACCAATAAATATAAAATCAGTATTCTTAAGACTCATCATAGATGTAGATAACAGCAAAGGAAACTCAAATCATTTGCGGGTCAATGTTTTAAAATTTAGAATTTAATTGGTCATGGAAATTTTACATTTTTTTACAAATTTTAGCTTCAAAAATCTGTTTCCTAAATCATTGTCACGTGGCTATTGCGTGACACATAGCCACCGCATTCTTTGGCGGCGCCATGTGTTGCTCCAAGCAACAGGTTGTCTTTTTCAAAATATTGTCATAATTAGCATAATAATTTTGCCAGCTAGGAATCAACTGAAGGATATTTTTGATTATTAACTTATGTTGCCGTTTAGAAGTCAAGGCATTCATCTATTTTCGTTCCTTTTTTATCTTTTTATCTTCAATATCTTTTTGCTCCTAATTCATTGATTATATTATTTGTTTTGTCTTTCCGAATCACCTTTTGAGCGCTAGCCGTCAGGTGGTACAAATCGTAATAAGTTTCAATCAAGTTAGAAAAATGATAATTTGCTTGTATTTAGAGAGTTAACTGACAAATCAAGTAAATAATTTGTTTAACAGTCAGTACACCTATAGGGAAATCCGAAAACAATGTCTAAACCTTTTGGTGACAATCTAACACGATTTATACCACGTGACGGATATAGCGAGAAAGAGGTGAATTCCTTCTTCCTTTCCTTCCTTCCTTCCTTCCTTCCTTCCTTCTTTCTCTCTTTTTCTCTTTCTTTCTTTCTTTCTGTTTTACTTTCT